AAAAAAAAAAAAGAGAATTAGTATAGGAAGATGTGTCAGAATGTCCTAGGCACAGGGTTCAGATTGTTTCAATACTTGGATATAAGACTGAACTGTGATTTTCAGGGATCTACAAGTCTCATGTCTGGTAGGAATGGGGAACAGAGAGAGAGTTGGCTAGACACACACAGACACCAGGCGTGGGGTGACAGCCTGAGGTTCTAGTCCTGTAATTGGAGCATGGTGTGATATAAGGAAGATTTGAGACAGAAGAAGGCAGTGATTGGTCCTGATTTAAGAGCCTCCCCCTGACTTCACAGTGGAGGTAAAGGTAAAGGCAGGGGACCCGTGGGGATTTCTTGAATCAGATCAGGTGGATGTTGGTGGAGGCTAGACAAGAGTGGTGTCTGTGGAGGTGAGAGGAGTGATTGGCTTTGGGTTGAATTTTTAATTAGAGCTATCTACATATGACTTGGAGAGTGTGTAGCTGGGAGGGAGATGGAAGAGCAATTAGGGATGTTTTTTCTTATTTACAAAACAGATGCTCCATCAGTTAAGATGTGGGAAGTTCCACTACGAGGAATCTTTAGAGAGAATGAGGAGTCACTTTATGTCCATGTCATGAATGTTCCAGAGACCCCTGTAGAGGAGTTCAGTTTGGAGACAAACACATCATAGCTGCTCTTGTATGGACTTCATTGAAGCCATGGATCAAACATAGAAGGTGGCATTTCTAGGTTATGGTGGAACCAGATTCTCTACTGCAGCACCCAGATGGTGGTGGAGGAGTCACAAGACAGATGAGAGACCAAGATGTTTACAGGAATGAGTATGTTCTAGATGGTGGGATGTAAAATTGAGAAGGTCTGAGGAGAGAGTAGACATGATAAGAATGGTAAGGAGGAAAATGTGATGAATTGGGAGAATTGCCAAGGGTGCGGTAAACGTGGAGGTGTAAGTGACTCCCAGTGCAGCTGGGCTTTGAAGTTTCTGTGGAGAGTAATTGTCCTCACTGCTTATGAAACAGAATGTATAATGTAGAAGCAGTAGATGGCCAAGAGTACCTCATGAAGCCCTCACATGGTTTGGGTGGCTTAGTGTGAAGTGAGAAAGGGACAGATATGGAGACCTTTTCATTAGGCCTTTGGGCTACCCCTGGCACAAGGGTACTTTGTTGTTTTGGGGTAGGACAGGGGCTGAATTGGATGCTGGATATATTTTCCATGGACCACCTGGTTTCCATAGGCAGAGTGTCCTGTTTTGAGGTGAAGGAAATGCCTGTGATGTGGGCCAGGAGGTGTCTGTGGAAATGCATTACTGTAGAGTCTAGAGATGTGATGGAAGCACCTTCGAAAGGGTGATGTGCAGGCAGAAGGAGTGAGTGGATGCCCCAGTTCCTGCCAGTGGGTGCTTAGGGAGAAAGATGAATCCGTGTTTGGTTTTCTGGGAGGCCAAGGTCTGGGGACTCAGAGAACCTGTTTAGTCTGTGAGCTGGAAGTATGGAGAGAAAAGGTACCTATGCCATCAGCACTCAGTATCTCCTTGGATATGTGGAGAGAAAAGGTATCTATGCCAGCAGGACCCAGTATCTCCTCCCAGTATAGGGAAGTTGGGGGGAGAGTGACTGAGATCCTACAGAAAGATATAGAGTACTGATTGTGCCTAGGGGGTTTTAATTTATGGATGTGAGAATGACGACAGGGACAGACCAGTAACATAGAAAGATTTATTCCTTACATCTCTCCTAGGAGAAGCCACATCACTGTTGAAGCATCTGAGTTGGTCAAGGGGTAGAAAGCAGGAGCAAGGAGACAGCTTGGACCATGGCTTTGTTAAGGTTTCTGCAGGAAAGACAAAGTTGTGCAGAGTGACCAGCTGAAACCCAGCAGTTTGAATAATTTCAGCCCACTTTGGGGGAGGCAGGGGTTGTCACTAGATGTGGTCCCTATCTTTGGGTCAGTGTAAGACAAAGGAGATACTGTCTTGTTCTGAGAAAGTTAGATAAGGAGGTGGTTCAGAATATGGGTTCTAGATGACAAGGGAAGGAAAACAAATTAACTATTAGGTACTGTTTTGAACTGTCCCAATCTTGGCAGGGCCATGTGGTCTTTGAGGATGTGGCCATATATTTCTCCCAGGAGGAGTGGGGGCATCTTGATGAGGCTCAGAGGTCACTGTACCGAGATGTGATGCTGGAGAACATGGCGCTTCTGTCTTCACTAGGTAAGGCTCTCTCACCCACTCAGTGTCCTGGGTCGGGCCATGTCTCCCTCCTTTTATATACCTAAGTGCAGCTGTGCCTGTCCCACAGTCAGACCGTGGGCTTTGCTTCCTTTCCTGGTTTCCTGGTCCATGTGCTGTGAGAGCCAGAGGTGGGCTGTGTGCTCTGTACTCCCCTTACCTCCCAGCTCCCTTCTTTGCTGCTCTGAGGCTCACAAGAAATGGCTCAGGAGTCAGAAATCTTGGAGTTGGCATGGAGTTCCCACCAGCCTTATATATCCTGGTCTAGTTGCTCTGCTCAAATGCATGCAGTCTTCATGTTCTAGGTTCTCCCCTTGTTGTCACAGGTACCTTCCAGTGGCAGGAATTTCAGGCATGACCAGGTCACTAATTTTATGGACCACTGGATTAATTCTACAAGATTGTTCTGTGAAATTCTTGTGACTATAAAATTTGGGGTGTTATATGCAGTGGATTTCTCTGGGTCTTGTGTCCCTAGCCTGGGTACTCTTGTGTGAAACCTCTGTATCGTAGGTTGTCCCTTGTTCTTACTGAACTGCTGGCTTTGTGTGCCAGGAATTTCAAGAACTGACCTTGTCACTATTTGGAGACCTCTGGCTTGATTTTTTTTTTTTGCAGTTTTTGGCCGGGGCTGGGTTTGAACCCACCACCTCCAGTGTATGGGGCTAGTGCCCTACTCCTTTGAGCCACTGGCGCCGCCTTGGCTTGATTTTTTTCTTTCTTCTTTTTTTTTTGAGACAGAGTCACACTATGTCACTTTCAGTAGTGTGCTATGGCATCACAGCTCACAACAACCTCAAAATCTTGGGCTTAAGCAGTTCTCTTGCCTCAGCCTCCCAAGTAGCTGGGACTACAGGAGCCTGCCACAATGCCCAGCTATTTAGTTTTTGTTGTGGTTATCACTGTTTAGCAGGCCCAGGCTGGGTTGGAACCCACCAGCCATGGTGCATGTATCCAGCACCATAACCAGTATGTTACAGGCGCTGAGCCCTCTGGCTTGATTTTATAGGACTTTTCTGTGAAGTTCTTATGATTACAGGATGTGGGGTGTCACAGAGTGGATTTCTCTAGGATGTGCTATCTACTCTCTTTCCCTGTACTTTCCCTAGGGTTGACCTTTTCTATGTCCCAGACATTTTTACCTTGGGCAATGGGAAGGACTCTGAGTATCTAAGAGGATGGATTTTACTTCAGTATTGGCAGTAAAGGCTCAAAGGGACATGGACCTGTTGCCTGGGAGATAGGAAAGAATGTAATGTCAGAACTGGGTTCAGATCACACTGGGTACCTGTCCTGTGCTCAACATTGTTCGATGGCAGGGTCCCCTGTCTGCCCCCATTTCTATTTTTTCTTCCTCATTGTCATTTCTAGTTTGATTTCTAGCCCCTGGTTGCTCCCACACATCCCATAGCCCCACTACTATGGCCTACTCCTCTCACTTGTTATCTTCCACTGCTCCCTTTGCAGTGCTCTCCAGTGTACAACCTATAATTTAAGTGTCATGAGGTCTGCTTGTGTCCCTCAGTAGTCCTTTAACACCATCTTCTCTGTCATCAGATTTCTTTGGGTCTGGACACAGCCTTCTTTTCGACACTGCTCACCAGTCTCAGCAGCCACAGCCATTTGCAGTGGAGTGAATTGGAGACTTGCCTCTCTTCCCCACACTGCACCCCTTTCTTGTGTCCTCACCTATCATCAGGGTTCTCCCATCATGGGTGCTTTCCAGACCCCAGCTCTGCACAGCTGATCTTCTTCTCACTGGCCCCAGTGTCCATGCCTGTCAGCAATCCCATGGCCTTATTTATGGGTGTATCTGACAGGCATTTGTGTTGGGGCTGCCTCCTCCCACCAGAGTTAACAAGCAGTTCACTAGTATTTCTCTGCTTTCAGGTTGTTGGCAAGAAACCCCAGGTGCAGAGGCACCTTCAGAACAAGGTGTTTCTGTGGTATTGTCACAGGTCATAACTCCAGTGCCTTGTGTATCTTCCCAGAAGATTCAGCCCAGGAAGGCATGTGACCCACTCTTGAAAGACATTTTTTACCAGGCTGACCACAGTAACATACTTCCTGAACAAGAGATGTATATTTCTGTGTCAGAGCTTTTTCAGCACCAGAAGCAGGAGATTGGAGGAAATCTTTCCACAAAGGGAGACTATTGGAGACCTTCATTTGGAAAGAACTCTAGAGTTCACATGGCAGAGAAGACCTTCACATGCAGCGAGGGTGGGAAGGATTTGCTGGCTCCCTCTAGCTTTCTGCAGCACCAGGCCCCTCAAAATGGGTGGAAACCCTTCAGGGATACAGAGGACAGAGAATTCTTTCTAACTGAACAAAATGATCACAAGTGCAGTGCATGTGGGAAAAGCTTTGCCTTCAAACATACACTTATTGAACACCAGAAAATCCACAAAAGAGAAAGGCCTTATGAGTGCAACAAATGTGGGAAATTCTTTAGATATGGCGCCAACTTCATGAAACATCAGACAGTTCACAATGGTGAGAGGACTTACGAATGCAGAGAATGTGGAAAATCATTTATGTATAATTATAGACTTTTGAGACATAAGAGAGTTCACACTGGAGAAAGGCCTTATGAATGTGACATATGTGGGAAATTCTTCAGGTACAGTTCTACATTTGTTAGACATCAGAGAGTTCACACTGGAGAAAGGCCTTATGAGTGCAGGGAATGTGGGAAATTCTTTATGGACAGCTCCACACTCATTAAACATCAGAGAGTTCACACTGGAGAAAGGCCTTATAAGTGCAGGGAATGTGGGAAATTTTTTAGGTATATCTCAACACTCATTAGACATCAGAGAATTCACAATGGAGAGAGGCCTTATGAGTGCAACATATGTGGAGAATTCTTTAGGTATAATTCCAGCCTCATTAAACATTGGAGAATTCACACTGGAGAAAGACCTTATAAATGTAGCGAATGTGGAAAATCCTTTAGGTACCACTGCAGGCTCATTAGACATCAGAGAGTTCACACTGGAGAAAGGCCTTATGAGTGCAGTGAATGTGGGAAATTCTTCCGGTACAACTCCAACCTTATTAAGCATTGGAGAAATCACACTGGAGAAAGGCCTTATGAGTGCAGAGAATGTGGGAAAGCGTTTAGCCATAAACATATACTTGTTGAGCACCAGAAAATTCACAGTGGAGAAAGACCTTATGAGTGCAGTGAGTGTCAGAAAGCCTTCATTCGAAAGTCTCACCTGGTTCATCACCAGAAAATCCACAGAGAAGAGAGGCATATGTGCTCCCTGAATGTGGAGAGTTCTTTGGGCACAACACCAGCCCCATTAAATATCTGAGATTTCACAATGTAGAAACTTTGCCACTGACAATTTAAATTGGATATTTCACTGATGTTATATAAAGTTACATATTTATGCAACTTATTTTTAAAACTCAACTTGCAAAAGTGAAACTCTGTAGCCAGTAAATTACACCTCTTTCATTCCCCTTACTGCTCTTGGCAACTACAGTTCTACACTCTGTATTATGAATTCTACACTGATTAGTACCTCATATAAGTGGATTCATGGAGTGTTTGTATTTTTGAGATTGGCTTATTAGGATAATGTCTTTAAGGGTTGTTTATGTCATAGCATGTATCAGAATTTTCTTTCTTTTTAGGTGAAATAATTTTATATTGTACATAAATACTACATTTCTTTATCCATTCATCTGTCCATGGACACTTGACAGATGGTGGACACTTCCATCTTTTAGCTATTGGAAATAATGCTGCTATGAAGGTGAGCATACAAGTATCTATTCAAGACCCTGCTTTATGTTCTTTTCCCTCCTAGAAAAGGAGATGGTTAATTATATAGTATTTGTATTTTTGATCTTTTGAGGAACTGTTTTTCATCATACTGGCATGTTTTTAACAGTGCACAAAAGTTCCAATCTATACACTTCATCTTCATCACCAGTGTTTGTTTTCTCATGTTGATTTTTGTTTTTCTGGGGTTTTTTGGACAGCAGCTATCTTACTGTATGAGATACAGTTTCACTGGTTTTTATTTTGCTAATCATATGGAACATTGTTTCTTTTTTCTTTTCTTTTTTTTTTTTTTGGCCGGGGCTGAGTTTGAACCCACCGCCTCCGGCATATGGGGCCAGTACCCTACCCTTTTGAGCCACAGGTGCTGTCTAATGTTGAGCATCTTTTCATATGTTTGTTAAGCATTTGTATATTTGGAAAAATATTTGAGTCTTCTGAAAAGTTTTTTTTAAATGGGATTTTTGCTTTTTTTGAGTTGTTAAGAATTCTTTATGCTGGGACGACACCTATGGCTCAGTGGGTAGGGCACCAGCCCCATATACTGGGGGTGGCAGGTTCAAACCTGGTCCCGGCCAAATTGCAACAACAAAATAGCTGGGCATTTTGGCAGGCACCTGTAGTCCCAGCTATTCAGGAGGCTGAGGCAAGAGAATTGCCTAAGCCCAGGAGTTGGAGGTTGCTGTGAGCTGTGTGACGCCATGGCACTCTACCAAGGGCGATAAAGTGAGACTCTGTCTCTAGGAAAAAAAAAAAAAGAATTCTTTATGCTGGATATTAATCCTTTACAAATACATAATTTAAATTATCTCCAGTCCACAGGTTGTTCTTTTCTTTTTTTGGTGATAATCGTTTTGCTTTGTTGATTGTACAGATGACCCTTTATATCTTTGGGTTCCGTATCTATGGATTGAATTAACCATGGATAAAGAATATTGGGAAATGTAGGTATATAACTAATAGAAGAACAAAATAACTAAGGGTCATAGCACTCTCGGAGGCTAAGGCAGTGGATTGCCTCAGCCAAAGTGAGACCCCGCCTCTAAAAACTAGCCAGGCATTGTGGCCAATGCCAATAGTCTCAGCTTCTTTGGAGGCTGAGACAAGAGAATTGCTTGAGCCCAGGAGTTTGAGCTTGCTGTGAGATATGAGGCCACAGCACTCTACCGGGGGCAACAAGGTGAGATTCTGTCTCAATGAAAAAAATTAAAAAACAAATAACTTAGAAGAAAAAGTATGTTTATATCTGTACAGAACATGTATAGGCTTTTCTTGTCATTCCCTCAACAATACAGTATAACAATTGTTTACATAACATGTTATATTAGGTGTTATAATCTAGAGATGATTTAGCATATAAGAACATGTGGGTGGGATATATGCAAATGTTATGTCTTTTTATAATCTTTTTATTTAATCAGATTTTCGTATCCACAGGATATCCTAGAAGCAATACCCCACAGATACCAAAAGACAATTGTCATCCAGTTTATTGTTTGTTACTGCTATTACCTGTTTTGTTTTGGGGGGAAGTTTTGTTTGTTTTTTGAGACAGAATCTCTTGTTCCAGGTAGAGTGCTGTGTGGTATCATAGCTCACAGCAACCTCAAACTCTTGGGCTCAAGAGATTCTCTTGCCTCAGCCTCCCTCTAGAGTAGGTGGGACTACAGGTGCCTGCAACAATGCCTGGCTAGTTTTTCTATTTTTGGTAGAGCTCGGGCTAGTCTCCATCTCAGCTCAAGAGATCCTCTTTCCTCAGCCTCCCTCTAGAGTAGGTGGGACTACAGGTGCCTGCAACAATGCCTGGCTAGTTTTTCTATTTTAGGTAGAGCTCAGGCTGGTCTCCACCTCAGCTCAAGGGGTCCTCCCACCTCAGCCTCCCAAGGTGCTAGGATTACTATTTGTGTTTTTGATCCTTATCCTAGAAATCATTATTAAAGCCAATGTCATGAATTGTTTTCCCTATGTTTTAATTCTAAAAAGAGTTTTAAATTTTCGGTCTTACATTTAGGTCATTGAGCCACCTTAGTTCATTTTTGATACAGTATAAGGCAAGGATCTACATTTTATATTTTTGCATGTGGCTATCCAGTTTTCCCTAATCTCAAAACCAAAGACCACCACAACAAAAGAAAACTACAGGCCAATATCCCTAATGAACATAGGTGCAAAAATCCTAAATAAGATACCAGAAAACTAACTCCAATAGTGTATCAAAATGATAATATACCCTGATCTGTATGGATCTATTCCAGGGATTCAAGGATGGTTCAATATATGCAATACCTCACATTGATACAATGAGGTCAAAAACCATATAGTCATCTCAATACATGCAGAAAAAGCATTTGATGAAATTCAGTATTCCTTTTAAAAAAACTTTCAACAAACTATAAAGGCTATGTGTGATAAATTCAAAGATAACATACTGATTGAGGAAAAGCTGAAAGCATTTCCTCTTAAAAACTGGAGTAAGGGGCGGCGCCCGTGGCTCAAAGGAGTAGGGCGCCGGCCCCATATGCCTGAGGTGGCGGGTTCAAACCCAGCCTCCGCCAAAAACTGCAAAAAAAAAAAAAAAACTGGAGTAAGACAAAGATGCCTACTTCTACAACTTCTATTTAACATAGCACTAGAAATTCTAGCCAGAGCAGTGAAGCATGAGAAATAAAGGCATTTAAAGCCGAAAAGAAGAAGCCAAATTTTTCCTGTTTGCAGATAACAAGGCGTTTCTTGGCTTTCAGCCCGAAAAAGTCCACGAGTGACTATACAGAGACAGGCCTTGTGGCATGAGAACTACATTACCCAGAGGAGAGTGCGGCCTGCGGAAGGCAGTGAGATGAGCCAATGAAAGCCTAGCAGAGGGTCGTTTACGTGCGTGCTCATTACGGGGGCAGGACTTTTGTTAACGCCCATTGGTGCTGTTATGGCTGCTTAAGTGTGTTTCCCGATTTTAGGGTCCCAGGGTGCTGGGTCCGGGACTGACGTGACAGAACGGAAAAGCACGGTAACAGGTATTCGGAGTGCACAGAAGCATTAGTGAGGCTCGACTGAGTTGGTCTGCAGACGCCAGTGCTTTCGTTTCCATCCAGGTCATCCGCGGCTCCCAGCTCAACTGTTCCCGATGAGCTCTACTCAGGTGGGTGCTGTGTCCGGTGCTCGACTCCACGTTTGAGTGCAGAAGCCGGGATTCGGGGAAGGTGGCACCTGCTCCGTTCCCTGCTGGGGCCGGAGCCGTCCAGAAGTACCGGACGTTCGGCCAGTGTGTTGAAGTGTGGGAGAGAGTTCCGGTCCCGGACCGGCACATGGGGAGGTTTCTAGGTGCTACAGAGGGAATGGCATTGGGAAAACTTGGGCCGTCTTGTGTCTTCAGGGAACAGAGGAGTCAAATGGAGTCACTCCTGGAATGGCAGGGCAGCAGCTGAAAGCCTGGAAGGTTGTGAAGAGAGAATGGACGGAAAGATCATGCCTAGAGTTGAAAGTTTAAAGTTGGGAAAAACACGATGTTGAGTGGCGGCGGTGGAACCAGTGAGGAGAGCCTATGGCCTTCGGTAGACCCTACTTGGATTACGGTAGGGACTGGACCATAGGGATGGCTGGAGAGGAGATGTGATGAGATTCTGGGTGGATTTCAAAGATAGAGGTGACAGGATTTACTCTGTGGCAAATCTGTCTGTGAGGAAAAGTAGGTAGTGAAGGTCCATCTCTTAGTGTTTTGCCTGAAAGTCTGAAAGAATGGAGTTCGGGAAGCCATCGTAAGGAGCAGGTTTCAGGGAAAAATCACAGGTTGGATTTTGGACATGGTGATTCAGAATTGTCCCGAAATGGAGGTATCACATGGGTAGGTGGACATAAGTTCTAAAAGTCAAGGAAGGTAGCTGATTTGGATCTTTCAAAGGTTTAAAAGGAGTAGACTGGATGAGGACGTGGTCTGAGGATCACATTGGATATAGAAGTCTCAGTGTTGTTATTTCAGATAGGACAGGATATGTGGTAAAGAAGGGAAGACTGAGACTTGGAGGGTACACCATGGGTGGGTCCACAAGCCTCATACTCCCTTTAGAAAGGTGTAGACCTGTCAAAGATAGGATTCTGGCCTATGTCTGTAAAAGGGAGGCATAGACAGGACAAGGACCTGGCCTAGGGTGGAGACTGTGGTGTGAAGTGGTTTAGATTCTACACCTGCAGACTCAGCAGACCCTCGTGGCCACTCTCTATGGAACAAGGGAAATGTCATCCAGTCTTGTACAGCAACTGAGGCCAGATCTGGACATGGCTTTCTCTACTCTCCATTGAAGTCAGGGGCCCCATAACCACCCTTCAGAACGTATGTAGCAGGCAGGCCTGGTTGCTGAAGGGACTAGTAACTGACCTGTCTACTTAGCCCCCCCCTCCTTATAACTTATTAACTTAGGAATGTATGAACACTAACTAGTATCTTTCTACACTTGATCTTAGCTAGAAGGCCAAGAAGCAGTACGATAAGTACAATATCCTTCTAAATATGGTCACATAGGTTTGGAGCCTGTAGTTCAGGGGTTAGGGTACCAGCCACAGGTGGGTTCGAACCCGGTCCGGGCCTGCTAAACAACAATGACAATTCTAACCAAAAAATAGCTGGGCTTTGTGGCGGGTGCCTATAGTC